GAAGAGCAAAGGAAATGAGAAACGTTGTCGATACAGCACGAGGACGTAAGTTATAGGATTCAGATTGCTTCACGAGTTCAGTGATAATCATTTGATGCATTTGCCTGAAAAATTGCAACAACACTGCGCAAGAATTTCGTCTTTGACGTTCACAGATCTTATTGAACATAGCGGCAGTTTCAAAAAAAACGGAAGTACCAAAAAATCAGTCCTTACCGAATTTTCTCGTTGAATATTCACCACTTTCAGCAAGCACTAGTGCATCACCACCAGAGAATATATTCACCAGGAAAAGGTAAATTCGTTTATCACCTCAATCGAATGATCAGAAATTTGTTCATATGTCAAGAAATGTTTGCAAAGTACAAATTTAGGATTTCATTTCATTCTTCTCTGTTTGGAAACATGAGCTTTCGAGGGTAATCGCTGTCTAGAGAAGGAATTCCAGTTTTTCACTGTCCAAAAAAGCTGTGAATGAAATGAATTGCGTCGTAACTTATGATGCTGTCTGTCCTCAAAAAATCACCAATTGAGATGGACCCATTAAAGGCTGAACACCCAAACTGCGTAATCACTGCTCAGAAGAATATAATTTTCCCCTTGCCAGCTGCTGGCTTTGCCTTACCCAAGTTTTGCATCCTCTCAGAAGGTCGCCCATTCACAAATACAACAGCTTCTCCACTTCGATACATTATAAGAGTGAAATTAAAACTTCGATTGCAAATCTCGGAATGTTGAAACGCTCATGAATTGTGTGTGATGATTATTCATTATCAGTGAATGTCCACATCACTGCGATGTGATCAATTATGCATTTGTGTCACTTATCAAATTTTACTTTGACCGATTGATCAACTCGCTCCTACCAATCCGCTGTGGTCAACGTTTTATTAGACCCTTCAAGACCACGTTTTAAACTTGTTTATTCAACTTAACTGCAGCATTTGGAAGTGATTCTATACTTTCTTCATATACTCTCTTCATAAGGACAATTTATTAAACAATTCTGCGAGCAGAATTTCTACTATGCAATGATTTTCATTGTCATTTTCACTGTGTTGCAGCTCGTTATTCTCCTGCAGTTGCTATATTCCTCATACGTTACTCAAACAAATGCACGAGTCTTAACGAATGCTCGTTATGGAAGGTTGCACTTGCAGCTGTCTCAAATTACAGTTGTAAAAACGAAACGGCATCATTTGTTCACTGGTATTTCACAGTGTCATGGAGCAATTGTGCAGGAATCTGTTGCATTCTCGAAAAATATAATATTTTGCTGAATTGCTTCGAGTTTAGTACATTATGCGATAGGATTGATGAGTTCATCTGAGCAAACATTTTTTGAAATAATACTCATGTGTGAGTGATTACACCTGTTCACAATTAATCAACTGTCAACCGCACAGTTCACTAAACGAATCGACGGTCTGTAAACTAGTCGCGGTCATCTTTGATAATCATCTCTATTTACAAACAACGGTAATCTCATTTTGTGCTGCACTCATTTAAATTCATAACCGAGCAAATGTTGACACTGTTTGTGTGTCACTAAACCATTACTCTATCGCAAACTTTTGCATATCCCTTTACACGATATTAGTGAATCTTTCTTGGATATCGTTGATATTTCGGGTGATCTGCGGTTATTCGTATTGATCTGATCATATCATCATTGCACAATGAAACGGATCGCTTAGATCAACCTGAGCTATGAAGGCCAGAATTATAGTCGCATGAAGTCATATGGTTACAGAAACAACTGTAAGATCCTCAAGAGATTCAGACGCAGATTCAGCGATATTGTCAGTCTGCATGCGCAACAAGCCAAACAACGAAACGTTTACGAGATCTGGATAATGTTTTTATCGAAATTTACAAATGATTTGAATAAATCAACGATTATATGAATGATGAATCGAGGTGCATATTCAATATATTGGATGGCTGGTTGTTTGTTTGCGTAGTGCGAATCAGATTAACCGTACAAATAGAACTGATGCGATGGATCGGATCATATGATGACGGACGTGCTGCTCACAGATAATGCAGTGAATTTCGTAATTTCAACTAAAATTTCGATTGTTTGTACGAGTGCCTTCTCAAGGTCATCATCTGTTGCCATGCATGTACGTACATCTTCACCTTATATGCCCTTAAACGTTCACAGCACTGACGACTTCTCATGAGAGTATTTGCATACAAAAATTCTCCTCATTTTTGTTAAGTACTTTACTCATTCTTCAGTTCGTGCGATGTACTCAGTTAAATCAATTAGTTTCACTCAAATACTCCTCCTCCTCGCTTCGTAACTAATTTATCGTTTCAAAGTAACGATATTCACTTAGGTGCTGCTGTTTATTCGTCACTATTAACAAATTCTTCAATAATATTGGTTGTTATTAGAGTACAGGTAGTCATCGTATAGGTACGTAAATATAGGTATAAGTGATCTTGTTATTGTCATTATTATTACTCAATATTTGGATGCTCTTTATTCATATTCTCATTCAAACTGGAAAGAAATACGATTGTTCCAACGACTGGACAGGCTATAAGCGTTAGGTACTGCCGGTTTCTCATCAATCCATATTCTTTTATGCCGGATACTCGGCACTGAATAAGGACACTGATTTGTATTCATCAGAATCGTAACTGGTTTCCTTGCGTTGCATAAATCGCCGCAGTGAATTCAATTCCAATTGAACATCTCCACCTTTCCCAGTTGAACT